AGCCAGCAGCTGATTTTCCACAGGACCCTCTGCCACGCCTGTGCACGGACAGCGCCTAGCGCAGCGGGCGCCTGTCTGGAATGGAGCCCGGCGGTACTGGGAGATCCGGGCGGGCAGGGAGCCCACTGGAAGACAGGTATCAGAGGCGCGGTGACACAGCGAGAGGCGTCTGTACCGGGGTTACTACACTGGGACTCATCTGGGCTGGGGGGGTCCAGAGACGGGCAAACCAGCCCAAACATGAGGAAGACTGGGGCAACGGGGGGCAGGATTCCAGCGGGCCTGAGTAGGACACTTGGGGCTGGGCTTTCGACTAATGATTTTCAGCAGTTTTTATCCGATGCCACACAACAGCTCTGACCTCCTCCAACCTGCAGCAAGATTCAGGTATTTGCAGCAAGGCTATGGCATACCTAGATGGGATTTGCAGAACCGGCATAAATATTTACCAAGCTCCCCTGTGACCATCTCCCCACCCGGCCCCACATCGCGACACAGGAGCCTTTTATTTGCCCGTTAAAGAAACTCCTGTGCCTTGGGCAAGCGTGCGAGCCGACATCTGCAAGCCTGACAGACCCTCCTCGCCCAAGCTTTGCCATTTCCAGCCCGCACCCGTGGGGACGGGAGAGATAAGAAGGAACACTCGCAGCCCTTTGGCCCCGCCTGCAGATCCAGCTCGCCAAACGTGCCAGTCACAGGGAGAACGGGATTATAGGAATCAGAATGAGAACAGACATGAAGGATTGCCTGGGCTTCCTTCAGCAGAGATAACAGCCTCCCGGAAGCTTTCCTGCAGCAGCCTCAACCCCTTCTGGGCCCGGGAGTTTGGGTTCCGCTGACAGAACCCTCCCGGAAGCAGGCTGCCTGCGGGCAGGCACACCGCTGCAGGGGTCAGGAAGGGCTCCCGTCTCGCTGGCAACAGGCCAGGCACATGCGCGTGTTTTCACTTTTGGAAGCATCAGGAGAGGGCAGTGCCAGAGGCAGGCCCCCAAGGTGAGCGGGCTCTGGCCGCCCCCAAACGCACGCCAGGAGGCTCCAATCAGCCAGCGGAGCAGTGCCACTACGGGTCATGCTGGCGCAGCAGACCCAGGGACGCTGTGGCAAGGTGGCCATGCCGGTAGCTTAGACCTGGATTAGCAGTGCGGGTCACTGCATCGGCAGGGCTGACCGCCCCGTGTGCCCAGCAGGCTGGTGCTCCGGCTGTTGTAAGTTCCTTGGCAGGAGACCAAGCCGCAGCTGGGAAATCGCCCAGCAAGGAGGGCCGGGGGGCTCCCCTGAATGCCGCAGGCTCCTTTGCAGGGAGGCTGCAGAGCACCAGTGCTCTCCAGCACAGGACGCAGTGTGACAGCTCTGCAGGCAGCGAGAGAGGCGGGAGAACAAAGGAGCGCTGAGAAGCGGCACAGGAGGAGGAAATGATTCGGGGCCCAGAGCGGGGAGAGAGAAGCCCGGGCGGATTCCCGTGTGCGCACAGCTGCAGGAGCGGGGCCCAGAGGCCAGGCCAGGGGGAGCAGTGGAGTGGAATGAGTCGGGGGGGTCAGAGCCTGGCCCAGTGGTGGCCAGGGGTGGGGGCCACCCCAGCTTCCCGGAGCAAGAGCAGCCTGATGCAGGGGAGCTCCATGGAGAGGCTGTGCCTGAGCGCTGCGGTAGCGGGAATGCGGGGGACTGAATGACAGCAGCTCAGTGCCCCAGCCAGTCCTCTCCAAGCCATGGCCAGTCAGTGCAGCAGGGCCCTCAGCGCCCCCGCCAGTACCTGCCCTGGGAGCCATGCCACTAACAGCTGTGTAGTGGAGACACAGCCTAGGTGTTTACACTAGGGAGGGGGTCGCCCAATGAAATGAATAGGCAGCAGGTTTAAAACAAACCAAAGGACATTTTTCTTCACACTGAACAGTCGACCTGTGGAACTCCTCGCCAGAGGATGTTGAAGACCAGGACTAACAGGGTTCAAAAAAAAGAGCTAGCTACATTCATGGAGGACAGGTCCATCAATGGCTGTTAGCCAGAATGGGCACGGATGGGGTCCCTAGCCGCTGTCAGAGGCTGGAAACAGACAACAGGCGAGGGATCACTGGCGATTCCCTGTTCTGTTCACTCCCTCTGAGGCACCTGGCATTGGCCACGGTCACAGACGGTCCCTGGGCCAGATGGCCCTTAGGTCCCACTCAAGCTGGCTACTGAGCTAGAATCTCTACCAATGGCCACCATCACATGCTGACGTGGGTGCCCTCCCCCGAGGCTGGAGGAAGGAACCCGTGGCAACAGCAAGATCCCATCTCAATCAGCCATGTCTGGCGGGGGGTGGGTCCTGCTCCGTGGCCAGCAGCACTGCACCGGTACAACCTGGGGGGCCAGTCAGGCTGTGCGTGTCAGCTCCTTTCGCAAAGGGCGGCAGGGAGACGCTGGGTAGGACTACACAGCTCAGGCTTGTCGGTGGTGTTCCTCGAGATGCGACAGAGCTGGCCGTTCGATGTGGGGCGCGCGCACCATGCGGAGAACTCTGCTTAGAGCCCCTGGGGGACCACACTCCTGCCCCGCAGCCTTATCAGCACCAAAGGCCTCCACTCCCTGGCACCAGCCACCCGAAGCAGACTCCAGGAGACAGAGGTGGCACGTCACATCTCAGTGCCAGAGGGACCCTTTTGCTTTGAGTAGGCACGGCCATGATCTTACTCAACTGACTAAGCGCGCATCCGCTCTGTGCCAATGCAGGCACGAGGGCACAGTGGCACCCGGCACGTGTCCAACGTAGAACACCATTGACACTGCTCATGCTAGCAGAACGTGCTCCTACCCGTTGGGCTACCGTGTGCAGGCACAACACAGGACGTTACAGTCCGCCGGGCCCTCCCCGGGGGTCCACGTATGGGACGAAAGACAGAGCAGACGACTCTGGTCCTACCCAGATAAAGCGCTAAACCTTGTCTGATCTGCAGCATGTCCAGACAATGTTCCTCAGGGGCAGGATACAACTTAACACTAGCAAATAGAGAGCTTGGGCCAAGTGACATCTGGAGGTAGTTAGGGATAGTCAGTCCAACCTGCTCTAAAGTATCTCCAGGGATGGAGAGTCCACGACCTCCCCAGGCAACTTATTCCAGTGTTTAACCACCCTGACAGGCAGGAAGTTTTTCCTAATGTCCAACCTAAACCTCCCTTGCTGCACTTTTAAGCCCCTTGGTGTCTTGTCCTGTCCTCAAGAGGCCACAGCCTTGTGACACCCTTTTAGATATCTGAAAACCGCTCATGTTCCCTCTCAGTCTTCTCTCTTCCAGACTAAACGAACCCGTTTTTCAGTCTTCCCTCAGGGCTCATGTTTGCTAGACTTAATCATTTTGTTGCTCTCTGGACCTTCTCCAATTCTCCACCTCTCCTGAAATGTGGCGCCCAGAACTGGACACGACTCCAGCTGAGGCCTAATGAGCACAGAGCAGAGTGGAAGAATGACTTCGCGCTCACAACACTCCTGTTCATGCAGCCCAGAATCATGTTTGGGTTTTCTGCAGCAATGTCACTCAACTCAGCTTGTGGCCCACTCTGCCCCCTGGGTCCCTTTCTGCAGGATCCTTCCTAGACCGTCGCTGCCCATTCTGTGTGAGAAATGGATTGGTCCTTCGTACGTGGAGCACTTTGCACTTATTCTTGAACTTCAAACGTTGCCAGAGGTTCAGAGGGAGGCCCCAGGAGACCCAAGACAGTATTAATGTCCCACAAAGGATTCAGTTGACTGGCGGGGGAGACAAGTGACTACTTTCAAGAACCTCAAACCGCTGGCAAGGAACACACTGAAATGGCTACAGGCCGACTCCCAGTGAACTAAATGCAGGACTCGAACACTAGAAGGCATAAAGCAGTCGTAGCTGTGTTGGCCCCAGAAGAGAGACATGGGAAGTGAGCTAATAGTGTTTATTGGACCAACTTCTGCTGGAGACAAGCTTTTGAAGCACAGAGCTCTTCCTCGAGTCTGGGAAAGACGCTCCCACCACTCTGACTTCAGTCCCGATTCTCAACAGCCACCACGAGGCTGGACACTCGAAATCGTTCCTCTGCTAGACAATGGGTACGTCTAGACTACAGGCTTTTGTCGACAGATACTGTCGACAAACAGAGTCTAGACGACATCCATTCTGTCGACAAAGCAAGCCGCTTTGGCGACATGAGTGTGCACGCAAAGGACAGTGTAGCTGCAATAACACCTTTTGTCAACAACTGTCGACAAAAGGCGTTATTCCTCGTAGGAGGAGGTTTACCACTGCCGACCAAACTGCTGAGTTCTGTCAACGTTATGTCGACAGAACTCAGCGGTAGTGTAGACGTAGGTATAGTTTTGTCGACAAAAGCCTGTAATCTAGACACACCCGAAAGCTCATGAGCTACCGACACCGGATTTATGGCTTACTACAACTACTCACAATTCACTAACACCCTCTTGCTGTCCTACGAGAGCAGGCATGTTAATGGGCCCCTACAAGGTGCACTGGCTATCTTCCGCAAGCAACGTGCGGTGATGCTCAG